GTCGACTCGGACTGCCCCATTGTCATGCACGACTTCGTCAACCACGTCCGCCTGTTCGAGCTGCTGCCCTGCTCGCTGTACGAGTGGCAGCCGCACACGGACGGGTGCCAGCCGCAGGGCGTCGCGCTGAGCCACGCCATCAGCAACAGGCTGTCGGCCGTGCAGCCCGGCGAGAGCGTCATGGAGAGCCAGCGCTTCGACACGCTGGTCACGCAGCAGTGGCTGCGCGTGTCCATGTGGCGGCTGGCGTTTGGGTCCAAGCCGAGCCTCGTGTACGGGCAGGGCCTGATGCCTGCGCCGGGGCTGCCGTTTGACGCGGGCAAGTCGATTATGAAGGCTCTCGGGTCTGTGAGCCAGAGCTCCAAGGACTGTCACGGGATTGCGATTGTACGTTTTCGGACATCTCTTGAATTTTCACGAGAGTTACTCGGCAGGGTTGCTAACTTCATATAGGAGCAAAAACTGTTCGACATTGGCATGAGTCTCGCCGACGCCTCCATGTCCGCCTCCCCCATCCCCTCCTTCGAATTCGGGCCCCACGACCTGCTCTGCTCCGTCGTCAAGTTCCTCGGCCGCATCCGCGGCTGCCAGTCCAACCTGCTGCCCAAGCTGCTCAAGCACTCGGAGCTCATCCTCGGCTTCGCCAACCCGCTCCTCGCCAGCATCGACATGCACTGGCCCGCGCTGCTGGAAGAGCCTCCTCACCCCTCCTCCTCGGGAAACGACAACGGCGGCGTGCCGGAGAGCAACAACAACAACAACGCCCACGTGGGTGGCGGCGACCTGGCTGCTCATCATCATCATCATCATCATCATCATGCTCAGGGGGACGAGTCTTCTTCGGCGAGCAGCAGCGTGGGCAGCTGGCAGGATACGTGCGACTTGGCGATGCTGGAGCCCGGGGCGGGGACGTTTATGGCGTTGGGGTGCGAGGAGGCGTTTGATGAGCAGGTGCACATGGCTGGGCAGGTGGAGATATCATGATTCTTTGAGCCTTTTTTGTCTATTCTCTCTGGGGGTGGGGGCTGTTTGTTTCTCGAGTTTGGGACTTTTTTTCATACCTTGGACGAATTTCTGGGGTTGGCTACGAAAAATGTTTCTAAGAGATATATGTCTTTGGTTACGATTCTATACGTGGCCCCCAGATGCTGCATGGCTTCTGCCGAAACCTCCCCCCCCCTTTTCACATCCTCGCTCTCTCTCTCTCTTCTTCTGTGACTCTCTCTCTGAATCAAACCTCCCTATAGCTCATCCCTGACGAGGCTCTTCCTCACGGTATCCTCCCCGCTCACGCTCTGCAGCCGAAACACCTTGGCCGCATGCCTCGGCACCCGCACACGAATCTCCCCTCCCGCCTCGACCACCCCGACCCTCTCCCCAAACAGCCTCGGGTCCCTCCTCCTCAAGCCCTCGGCATACGGCACCTCCGTGGCATTGTACCACCCCAACCCCTTCAAAACGCGCCTCCTCGCCTCCTCCCCCTCCGCATCAAGCAGCGCTCTCGCGTCCTCCTCCTTCATCCTCCCGCCCCAGAGGTCATGCACCGCCCAGTCCTGCCTCACCTGCGCCGCCGTGCCGCCCACGCCGTCCATGATGAAGACGTCCTCGAGCGGGGCGGCCATGTCGAGGTCCGCGTCGGCGGCGTTGAAAAAGACGACGACCTGGTCGCCGTTGGCGAGGGGCCCGCTCCAGACGTGCGTCTCGCCGACGCCGTGGCGGTCCTTGGGCACCGCGGCGGAGGCGTTGCGGGCGATGCGCTGGACGGCGCGGCCGCGCGGGTCCTGGCTCAGGGCGATGATGGCCGGGTTGTTGACGATGGAGAGGGACGAGGGCGTCATGGCGCGGAGGTCGTTGCCCAGGAGGAGGGGGGACTTGAGGGCCGCCCACATGGAGAAGTGGGCTTTGTACTGGCGTTGGAATCCGTGTCAGTGGTCGTCCAAGAGGTTCAGGGGGGTAGTAAAAACAGGAGAGAGAGCGGAAACAAACTCTTACCTCCTCGTCAGTCATGCCTCCGTGGCCGACCTCGAGCATGTCGAGGTCGTTCCAGCCGCCCGGCAGCCCGCGGTCAATGTAGGGCGCGACCTTGTTGATGATGGCCAGGACGGAGCAGTGCGTGCCGGGCGCGATGCAGGCCGGGTCCGCGGCGTCGGTGCACGAGCAGAGGTCGTCGGGGCGGGCGAAGGAGTCGTAGATGTCGCCCGAGACGCGCCACGAGTTGGCGATGGAGCCTCCCCACTGTTTCGTTTTACAACAATCGTCAGCATAACCTATTATTCCTGCTTTCTCTCTCTCTCATGATGACTCTGAAGAATGGGAAAAAAGGGGCAGAGATGGGGGAGAAAGGGGAGGCGGGGGAGAGAGAAGGAGGGGAGAGAGTGTGTCACCGTGTGGACGTAATCCTCGCCCCAGCTGCACAGGCTGTACAGGATGGCCCGCCCCGTCTTCTTGAGCGCCTTGGCCATGGCGTTGAAGCGGTCAAAGGAGATGAGGGGCGTGCCGAAGCGGCCCATGTGGTAGCAGTTGTCGTACTTGAGGTAGTCGACGCCCCAGGAGGCGAAGCTCGCCGCGTCCGACTCTTCGTGGTCGAGGGAGCCCTCTGTCGTTTGGATATACCGTCAGTACGCTTGTACAACAGCCAGTGCCAAGGACGAGATTAACGAGGATCGAAGCAGTGGGAGTTGATGAGGAGAAAGAAGGTCGGGACGAAGGTAAACTCACCGTATCGCGCACAAGTCATCTCCCCGGCGCTCGAATACATGCCAAACAGGAACCCCATCTCATGCAACGCATCCGCCACCGCGGCCATGCCCTCGGGAAACTTGGTCTCGTCCGCCACGAGCCTGCCGTCTGCGTCGCGGCCGGCCGACCAGCAGTCGTCGAGGACGACGTACTTGTAGCCGAGGTCCCGGAGGCCGTATTCCGTCAGCAGCTTGGCGGTGCTGGTGAGGAGGGATGAGGAGACGGAGCAGGCGAAGGTGTTCCAGTTGTTCTGTTTCTCGGGAGGGAAACTTGTTAGCTGACTTTGGGATAGAGGTTCGTTGCGGGGGGATATGATGAAAGGGAAGTTTGATGGCTAGGGGATATAGAGGAGGGTTGAAGCGTACATACCCATCCCATCTGAGGCGTTCGCGCCAGGCCATTGTTGACGGCTCGGACGCTGCTCGCGGAGAGGAGGGCCACGAGGAGGCCTTTCTTGGGGAACCTCATCTTGAGGGATCACTCAAATTCACCCACGCGCAGACAGAAGACGGTGCGCGAAGCGGGGGGGGGAAAGAGAAGAGGGGACTGGAGCAGAACCAGAAGAGAGAGAAACAGCTGTCCTGGCCCCTTTATCTTGGGTGCTTCTTCTGGAGGAGGGATAAGAGTAACGGCCTTTTCCCTCGGCTCCCCGGAAACAAACGTGCCGTTTTGAGAGAAGCTTCTAAATCAGCTACAGAATGGGCAGAAAAGCCAGAGTATGGAAACGAGGCAAAGCAGATTCAAAGGGCTTGGGGATATAACTCATTTCTCCCTCTCCGATCCCTTCCCTACTCGTCAATGTCCCGCATCTCCTCTGTGCTTGTAGGATCGTCCTCTTTCCATAGTAGTATTCCCACGGGGGAATAGATCAGAGATCACTGTCTCTAAGAAGATCGGGTCAAACGCAAAGCGGTCACTGTGTCCCCTCCCAGATAAAGAACGGTCATTTAGTCGGGCTCATATCTGATGCATGATGGATCCAAATGTGAACTATTGGCCCAAAAAGTACAAAGGTTTTGATTACATATGTACTCTGGGGTTTTGACAAGATAGATTGGTGACATCCCGTGGGATTTTATTCGGATGAAACTGACTGGGGTGTGTGTTGTCACTGTCTTGCTCCACAGATCTGGGGGTTTGCCGAAAAGGGCAATCCGGGGTAAATTGAGCACTATGTATGTACTACTATGTATCTGATGGATTCTTTGTGAGACTGTTAGCGACAAGTATCTATGCCTCAACCAGAGACTCAGTTGCTACAGGCGAAGAGATTCTGATCCACAAAGCTTCATGCTCCATTGCTATAGCCCGATATTCCAGCTTCCTAGAGACAATCCAAATTCACCACACGCTACACACCTCATCACAGCATCCCCAACGTTCACCCCTGCCCACGCAATCCCACATCTCCCCGCCTAAGGCAGAGCATCACTCTGGAAAGCATCAATCTTATAGCTCGCAAACTGCCTCGCCGGAACCCCCCTCGCAAACAAAACGTCCAGCTCCTCGTACGTCCGGTCCTTGGACTCGGGCAGCCGGAAGTACGCCCACACAAACGTCGCAAACGCCGTCCCTCCCCACACAAAGCCCGTGTACCCCTTGAGATTCCACTCCGTCGGATTCATAAAGTACGGCTGCAAGACGCCCGCCACGATGCCCGTCACCGCGTAGGCGTTGCGCGCCAGGCACACCGTCTTCTGCCGCAGGCGCGTCGAGCCGAGCTCGGCCGGCAAGGCCCAGCCCAGCTGGCCCGCCGACAGCTGGAAGACAAAGGTCCAGACCAGCGTCAGGACGGCCTGCGCCATGCCCACGCCGTGCTCGCTCGTCCGCGCGTTGAGGCCGCCGATGATGATGAGGATGGCCGACATGACGCCCATGCCGGTGACATAGGTCGTGCGGCGCCCAAAGTACGGCATGACCAAGATCCACGACACAATGGTGCCAAACAGCGCCATTCCGTTGCCACCGACGCCGAGATGATACGTCTGGGTCGTCGTGAGCCCGACCTGCTGGAAGAAGTAGGTCGAGTTGTAGGCAAAGTTGATGCCGGAGAGGACCTGGCCGGCAAAGACCATGCAGGCAATTTCCGTGCGGCGTAGCTCAAAGCCCTTGAAGCAGTCCCAGTACGAGGTGCCGACGGAAAGCTGCTCCTCCAGGTTGTTGGTGTAGATGATCAGGTTGAGGCTCTCCTGGAGCTCTTCCTCGGACGGATTCGAGCGGAGCTTCCTCAACGACTCCTTGGCCTCCTCGTAGCGCCCCTGACGAACGAGGTGCCAGGGCGTGTCTGGCGCAAACCAGATGATGGGAAACAGAATAACGGGCCAGGCCCATTGGACAGCAAACGGAATCCGATAGGACCACTCCGTCGTATTGTTCACAAGGCCGGCGAAGATGCCGGCAGAGATGAGCTGGCCGATGATGAAGCACATGTTGGTCCAGCTCGTCAAATACACGCGCAGAGTCATCGGCAGGACTTCCGAGGCATACGCCGGCGCCGTCGTAGCAAAAATGCCCCATGGAAGACCGCACAGCAACTCGCCCACAAGCAAAACTTTGGTGTTCGGCGCAAAGAAGACGATGAAAACAAAGGCGCTCATGGTCGCGAGGGAGCCCAGAATGACGCGCACATGCCCAAACCTGAGCACGAGATATCCATTGAGGAGAGTGCCGAAGAAGGAGCCGACGTTGGACGCATTGCCCAGCCCGGCCTGCCAGGGGGCCGACAGCTGATAATTGTTCGTGGCCTCGTTGAAGTGGCCGTATTTCTTTGCAAACTCGGGGTACGCGTAGAAATTGCTCAGCAGGTTCGTGTCATAGCCTTCCATGATGACGCAGGCAGACACGATCAGGCACCAGAAGATGGCCTTGGGGTAGAGGCGCAGGGCCTTGAGGGGAGGCAGGTTGTGCTCGGCCTCGGCGCCCTGCTTGGCCTTGTCTGCAATCTCATGGATGGCGAGCTTCTCGTTGGGCTCGATGGGAGCATCTTCGGCGTGGGCCACTGCGAGATTGGACTTTTCCATGCTGAAAAGAAGAGCTGATGATGGTGACAGAGACGGGGAAATTGATCAAGGAGCCTGTTGGTAGGAATGAGCCCAAGACAGGAACGAGTTTGCTTGTCTCGGTCACGGCAAACTTCTGTCTCACTCTTCCTTGCTCTCGGCCACTATCCTCTCAAAGACGGGCATCCCACCAAGCCCCCTTTTATAGCCCTTTCAGCTTCTACTTCCCCTCTCTCGTTCAGCCCAGGTCTTCACCAGACGTCTCCCAAGACCTCATCGTGGTGAATGCTTCTTGCCTCGTCGGGCACCTTTACAGGGGTGGCCGCGGTTCGTCCCTCTTCACCCCGCAATTGGCCATTCTAGATCTGGGTAGACTTGGCTCCTAAGCCTCCCCAGATTTTCTGTCGTTTGGCGGCGATGTTGAGGCCGCTGTCGTCTGGGTAAAGGCAAAAGTTGGCGCGCCCGAGGATTTCCCCTTTTGGATGATGAGAGCGGCAATAGGCGGAGTGCGGGCGAGAGACTTAACAAATCGATCGTGACGAGTATCTTCTGCTGAACGAGGAGTCTCTTTTCGTCCTACCCTATATGCTTGGATGCCGCCCTATCGAGTCATCATGCGGCGCCTAATTCCTGCGGGAGCCGCGAATCAGGGCCTGACTCTTGCTGACCTGCTTCGGAGGCCTTGCCGAGCTCAAACAGCAGCGAATGGCCGTCGAGTCCTGGACAGATAGACGTGCCGCGAAACCCCCCACTGCCTCTCGAGCAGCTGGAGATGGCGACATGGTCCTCCATGTAGATCGATAGCTCCGGGGCTCAGCAAATGCTCGGGCTATCTCGCGGAGATGTAGATAGGCGTTTCCCCTTATCCCGGGAGTGGCCCCTTTGGGAACTGTAACTCGACCACTCAGCCGCAGTAACCTCTTGTTGACTTGGTCTTCGTTCTCCTTCATTTCATCTCACTCGCTTTCAAACAAGTTGCCCAAAGAAACATCTAGGTCATACGGCGCAATGGATGCCAAAGTCACGGCCGCAACCGTCCAGGCCACTGTGCTAAATGCCCTGTCGGGCGTGTTCGCGCAGGGCATTCTGGCATATCGCAGGGGGGTCAGTAACAACCCAGCACCCGTGACGCCATGTTTGCGTTGCTGCCGTTGGTCGATGTCGAAGTGCTAACTCGAAGCTCGCTTGGTCCGGTCGTGGGCATGCAGACCATGGAAGGCATCGATCTTTCGTCCATCCTGCGCTTCATCGTGTATACGATGCTCACGACGCCGCCCAACTATAGGTGGCAGGAGTTCCTGGAGCGCATGTTCCCAACCACGACAGAGCCAAAGGACAAGTCTTTCAAGGACAAGTCGGACAAGTCATCTCTCAGTGCTGTGACGGGGACTGGCGGCAAGCTGAACATGGCCAACACAGCGGCCAAGTTCATCTTGGACCAGGCCCTTGGGGCGCCCATCAACACACTCCTGTTCATCTGCCTCATGGGCCAGTTGAGCTCTCAGAGCTACAACCACATCGTGAGCAGTGTCACCAGCGTGAGCGACTGAATCCAGCCCTTTGCCGGCTTGTGAACATGAACTCGGAGGGTGCTGATCGCAGCTTGCAGGACTTTTGGCCAATGCTGTTTGCTGGCTATCGAGTGTGGCCCATCGTCTGTCTGTTGAACTTGGTTGTCGTTCCGTTTGATTACCGGCAGCTTGTTGGCAGCGTTGCCGGGCTGGGATGGGGGGTGTTCCTCAGTCTCAACCAGATCAAATAGAGGCGGTTAAAGAGCGCGAAGCACAAGACAAGTCTGGGGTTCAGTCGAGAGAGACAATAGAATGCCCGGTGTAATCGGCCCAGCCGTGACGGTAAAGAAGATGCTTAGACAGCATCTTGCACTTCCTTGAAAAAGGCAGCTGTGAGATGTCGAAATGGACAATCGATCCCCCTTCCGTCACGTCAAGTACAAGAGGTAACAGTTGCCTTGTCCCAACATCACTTGGTATCCCAGCCGAGCTCGACAACTTGTAGACTCGTGTCTTCACGGAAAGCTAGCCGTCATCGGCTCGCCGAGCACTTTAACCGGCGGAGCCGCGCCTAGGACCTTTTCCGTCTCCCACGTCTTTTCCGTCTTTGAACCCTCCACATTTTCCGTCTCCTCATTCTTCACCTCAGTAGACGAGTCTCAAGATCCCATCCGTCCAGACTTGGTATTTCCGTCGGCTAGAGATTTGGCGTCGACTCAACAAAGTTCAGCTGCGCTGTTCTCGATAGCTCTGCTGAAGCTCCATCGTATCCCGAGTGACATACCCCAGACGGGCTGGTGGTTCCCCCCGCAATCGCAAAACAGGGGTATTCCATCTCCGCATCTTACCCCAGAAAATCTCCCCATAGTCTATTGCTGCATTAGATCAGATGTAACCCAGGCAGTCTATGACCGCAGTAGCTTTAGCTCATAAGAGCCAAGTAAACAATAGTCAGAAGCATCGCACGGAGCTTTGCTTCTGTCGCCATCGTGAGCCTTGGCAAAGAGGGCAGAGCCCGAGCAATCCTCCGTTAGAGAGTTTCCCTCGAGCGCACCGCCGGCCTGCCTGTTCTTCCGGTCAGGAGGCTCCCGGCAGAGCCCATGACGAGAGAAAAACTAGTCATGAGAAGTGCAGACTGTGGAGGCAGAAATGATATAAAAGGCCCGTAGAGAAGCTTGAATGAGTGAGTCTCGTCAACCCAGCTGCAGTCTCTCACATCTAGTGTTGCAAGCCGGAGTGTTGCCCTTGACGGTGTAAAGGCCTGCGTCGATCATCTTCCCCCCCCTTTCCCTTACACTTACTCGGCATCGTCGTCAAGTCCAACATGACGAGTCGCCTGGTTTCAGCGTTGGTGCTCGGTTTAGGTGCGACAAGTGCCGTGGCAGCTCCCAACGCCAAGCGGACGTCCAGTCATGCGCCCCAGCTCAAGATCATCTCATACGAGGAGACGCCCAACGGCTTTCGCAGCTCTGCCCGCGGATGGAACTCCTTCGGCATCCAGGCAAACCCGCTGACCACCCCCGGCTGGAAGTTCGACCAGGAGCATGTCATTGAGCAGTGTGACCATCTCGCTGGCCTCCCCGGATACGACACCTGCAGCTTGGACTCGGGTTGGTCGGTGGGTGGAAACGGTGATGATTACGGCCGCATCATGTACGATGAAGAAAACTTCAACATCCCCATGCTGGCAGATCATCTTCACAGCAAGGGCCTCAAGCTGGGCGTCTACATTGTGCCCGGCGCGTTCCTGCAGGATGTCAACAAGACCATCATCAACACAGACGTCCGAATCGGCGACGTGTGCCACGGTGATGAGGGCCTTGTGCGATGCATCTTTGACTACACGCAGCCGGCCGTGCAGCTCTGGCACAACTCCTGTGCCGACCTCTTTGCCAAATGGTGAGTCTAGCGCGGCCCCCTATTCGTCTTGCACATCAAGTCGCTGGTCAAGCAGATAATCAGTGCTGACAATGCCTCTAGGAAGGTTGATTTCGTCAAGCTCGACTTCGTGACGCCAGGCTCACCTGACAATGGCCAGCATCTGCCTGCTGATGGCAGCGGCTCCGTCATTGCGTGGCACAAGGCCATCCAGCAAAGCGGCCGCAAGATGCGCCTGGACATCTCCTGGAAGCTTGACCGGACGCAAAAGTTCTTCAACATCTGGAACGAGAATGCCGACTCCATGAGGACCGACCAGGACCTCAACAACAGCCAGCAGCCAACCTTTGTGTCGTGGGAGGTGGTTCAGCGAGCCTTTGACAATTACCGACAGTGGATCATTGCCGGTCTGCAGTTTTTCGACCACCTCAACATCTACCCCGACATGGACAACCTCCTTGTCGGCAACAACGCTACCGTCTCCGGAATCACGGACACACAGCGACAGACGGTGATGACGCACTACATCGGGGCGGGTGCCAACCTGATTCTCGGCTCGGATCTCACCCACCTGGACAAGTTCGGCCTCAACCTGCTCACCAACAAGGCGGCTCAGGCTGTTGCCGACTTCACCGCACAGTACCCCATGCAGCCACGCAACCCCGGCACGGGAGGTCAAGAGGCTAAGCAGTTGCAGGCCTGGATCGCGGGACCCGCGCCAAACGGAAAGGCTGTTGTCGTCCTCGCCAACTACGGACCCGATCTCGGCCAGGGAGGGTTCAATGGTACCAGCTCCGCCGAGGAGTGGGTTTCGGCTTCCTGGCAGGACCTGGGTATCAAGGGAACCTATCGTGTCCACGATGTCTGGAACAACAAGGACCTGGGCATGCAGAAGAGCGGCGTCAAGGCCAAGCTGGGCCCTGGCGAAAGCGTTCTGTTGACCCTGACTCGGGCATAGAAGCCATTGGACGGGGGGAAGGGCCTGAGCGAGTAGACATTGGCACTTTAGATAGCCAGACACAACTTGAAGAGAAATGCATATTCATTGCATGCAATCCCTGTGTAACGTCATCTGCATCAGTAAGCCGTGCTGTCATATATCTGCACCACTCTCACAAACCACCTCCGCAGCGTGTCCAATGACCGCGGCGCTGCAGAGTAGCCCAACATGCGTGGCACTGTAGAGGATCTGATCTGCAGCTTGTCAGTGTCTCATCATCTGTGATTGCAGACCAAGGCATGCACGTCGCCTATCCAGCCAGTATCGGCAGCATGTCTCAGGGTCGAGAAGATCCTCTGTCGGGCCTCAACACTTGCATGAGGGATCCCTGTCAGTGCCGGGGGAGCCACTTGGGCCAGCCCACGAGGGTCATGACACGCATCGCAGACGGGAGCCGGTACTGTGAGAGAGGAGCGACGCAACGCATGGCTCGACATGGCATGATGGTGGGAAAAGCGCCGGACATTCATGCATATCTTGGGCATTGTTCGTTCTGCCTGCCTGTAGTTACAGAGTATAAGGTAGTAAAGATGATGGAGCAGACGGACGAATCAGTGAATGAAGTTGGGAGTCGGAGCACGGACAAGCTGATGTTGCGCAGCGTGCTGAACGATTAGTAAGACGCCTGGCAGCCAATCGCTGGCCATCAGCCACACCTTCAGCCCAACGGCGCGCCACGCCTGCGGGACCACGTGTGGCTTGTCACGGTACCCCCCCAACCCCCCTCTCCCCCCCATGCCACTTTCGGCTGGATCAGAAGAGTGGTAGGTGGTCATAACTGATGACATTTGACCTGTGCTTGATGCCTCGCTCCTATTTAGCTTGTCGACGCTCCCTCCCAACTGTTCTTGTCTGGTCAATTAACTCCCCAGCTCTGGAGAACGCATCACGTCTCCCAATCCTGCCCAGCGAGAGCTGTCTGATGCCCTCTTTGGACTGCTAGAGCTTCCAAGCCTGCAGCAGCTACCATGAACGGCCACTTCTCCGCCGTCGGCGAGCAGCCGGCCAACGGCAATTATGACCATGGCTGTCAGGTCATAGACGAGGAAAAGGAGTTCAAGTATGTCCCCGGAAGCTGAAGAGATGCCCCTCGCTGGCTTTGGTGGTTGGAAGCAGATGGAAGCTAATACGAAACGCCTCGCCGTCGCAGCCGCAACCTCAACGACTACCTCCAGAGCATGCATGTTGCCGAGGCGGGCTTCAACTACCACCTCATCTCCGTCTTTGGCTCGCAGTCTACTGGAAAGTCGACTCTGCTCAATCACCTCTTCGGCACCACCTTCTCGGTCATGTCCGAGACAGAACGCCGTCAGACGACCAAGGGCATCTGGCTGTCCAAGAACAAGCGCGAGACGAGCGCGGGAACCAAGATGGCAGACAACATCCTCGTCATGGATGTCGAGGGTACCGACGGCCGAGAGCGTGGTGAAGACCAGGACTTTGAGCGCAAGAGCGCCCTGTTTGCGCTGGCCACCAGCGAGGTTCTCCTCGTCAACATCTGGGAACACCAGGTTGGCTTGTACCAAGGAGCCAACATGGGTCTGCTCAAGACGGTGTTTGAGGTCAACCTGCAGTTGTTCCAGAAAGACAAAAAGTAAAGCCAGAGCCTACCCTTTTTCAATCTCTCCAACCAAGAGCGATTCCAAACCGCGCGCCAGTTGGACCTCGCGTGCTAACAACCGATAGCAGTTCAACCCCCCGATCTCTCCTGTTCTTCGTCATCCGAGACCACATTGGAGTCACACCGCTGTCTGCGCTGCAGAATACCTTGATTCAGGATCTCCAGAAGATTTGGTCTTCCATCTCCAAACCAGAGGGTCTCGAACATTCGCGGATTGAAGACTACTTTGACTTTGGCTTTGCAGCCTTGCCCCACAAGATCCTACAGGGAGACAAATTTGAAAGTGAAGTCGCGCAACTCGGAGCGAGATTCACCACAGGACACCGAGTGAACAAGGGAGGTGACGACGGCGTTGCGGAGACTGAGGGCGGTATTCTCCTGCCCGAGTACCACAGGCGAATTCCCGCAGACGGTCTCTCCGTGTACGCGGAAGGCATCTGGGACCAGATCGTGAACAACAAGGACTTGGATTTGCCGACGCAGCAAGAGCTTCTTGCTCAGTTCCGATGCGACGAGATATCTCGGGAAGTTTTGATTGCTTTTGACCAGCAGCTGACGCCCCTGGAGGAGAAGCAGACGCAGGCCTCTAAGCTCGGCAAGCCCGTTGTCCTTCCTGACCTGGGCCCCATAGCCAGCGAGGCCCGCGAGAAATGCTTCAAGGCCTTTGAAGTGCAGGCCAGCCGATATCACAAGGGCGTCTACTCCCGGAAGAAGCAGGAGCTGGAGAGCAAGGTTGATGGGCGACTCAAGACCTTGTACCAGGGCCAGATCGCGGCAGCTCACAAGGCCGGAGTCGCAGCCTTTAGCGAGGCCGTTGCGAACAAGGTCAAAGCCGGGCAAAAGGCTGGCGGAGGCTATGAGTTTGCCGAAATCGTATCCAACGAGAAGAAGAAGACCATGGACATCTTCAAGGCAGAGGTGGAGAGCCTGGCGATTGAGGGCGTCGAGTGGACCAATTTCGTGTCGCAAAATCAGCTGTTTGAGGCCGAGCTCGATGAGGTTAGCAGCAAGTTGCGCAAGGACGAAATCCGACGGCTAGCCACGCGGGTGGAGCGCTGGGTCAAGTCCCGGCTGGGCGATGCTGTTGGCCTGGAGTTCAACAAGCTCGGATCCGGCCGGGGCGGCTCGGGAGCGCCCGAAGAAGGCGAGAAGCCGGCGACGGAGAAGGACCTCTGGGACCGAATCTGGAAAGTCTTCACCGGCGTGGTCAGCGAGGCCGAGGGCCGGTTTAGTGACCGAGCCAAGAGCTTCGATGCTAGCGATGCCGAAGTCGAGGTCGGCCTGTGGCGCCTCCGACGCAAGAGCTGGACCGCGCTCCGGGAGAAGATTGAGGAGGAGGTGATGGAGGGCAACATCCTGATGAAGCTTAGGGAGAACTTTGAGGATAAGTTCCGATACGACGAGGCCGGCGTGCCGCGCATCTGGAGGCCCACGGACGACATCGAGGGCATCTACACGAGGGCGCGAGAGTCGACGCTGACGCTGATACCGCTGCTTGCCAAGTTCAAGCTGCTGTCCAGCCAGTCGCCTCCCGACCTGGTCAGCTTCATCGGCCCGCAACCCAGCGGAGTCGAGGCTGGTGACGAAGAGGACCTCGCGCCCATCGGCGGCGTTGACGAGGAAGAGGGCAAGAGCCTCGAGGAGGAGATGACGATGCTGAGCGAGAACAAGCGACAGGACTTGGTTGTTCGCTTCAAGAAGACGGCCGACGGCGTCTATGTCGAGGCCAAGCGTAGCGCCATTGGCGGCATGACGCAGGTGCCGTGGTACTTTTACGTGCTGCTCCTCGTTCTCGGCTGGAACGAGATCTGGATGGGTAAGGCATTCTTCGAAACAGTTCTGTGCCTGGGGCTTGGCTAACCGTTGTAGTTTTGCGCAATCCGTTCATGTTCATCCTCCTCATTCTGCTGGGTGGAGGAACCTACACTGCGTGGTACCTCAACCTCCTGGGCCCCATGATGCAGATGGGCAACGCGGCTGTCAACCAGGGCTTCGACATTGCCAAGCAGCAGCTGCGCGACTTCGTTGCCAACTCTGACACCGCACGACAGGCGCTGGCCATGCCGGCAAGGCAGGACAGCGACATTAGCATGGACACGCTGGACAGCCGAGGGCGACGAAGGACGCCGACGGAGCAGCCAAGCCAAGCCGACGATTATTAACTCATGCGGATAGGAGAACCAAAAAGGAGCCCGGAGGCAGCATTGACGGAAACCAAGCAGTCCTTGTACAAAGCACTCAACACACTGTCAGACACTGAGGGTAAAGCAGCGTATAGCATTGATGAGCGAACAGGATATGAATAATGTCTACACAGAATATCAAATAAAGATGGCTTATCCAATTCGGATATTATATACCAAAACGCCCAACCAACCGGTGATTTTCCCTTCATAATGACCCTCTAACGCCAATTCATGTGCCCTTTCGTCCAGCATGATTTGAAAAGGTAAATCAAACCAAAGGAACTCTCCCCATGCCTCTCCCGTGTCATTTCTAGAATGCTTCTTGGCTTGCCGGAGTACCAAACCACGACGTCAGCTCACTCCCCTGCTTCTCCTCGCCCCCTGACACAAAAAAGTCAGTCAACTTGCTCGTCTCGCCGTCATCGTCCGCCGGCCACTCAATCTTGATGCCATTGCCCTTGCTCTCGAGCATATCCTTGGCAGTGCCCCAGCTGAAGCGGCACTCGGGCCCCCATCCAAACAGGGGATGCATATTGTTCCTCAGCCAAGTCACAGTCTTTGCATCAGAGGGGTAGCCCGAGCCCCATTCTATAGGACCATTCTCAGCAGGCACGTCATCCTCGTCATCGCCATTGGCAGCAGTAGCAGCGGCGGCGGCGGCAGCAGTAGCAGCCTGACGAGCATGGAAGAGCGTCTCGAGGGCAGCATCGCGGGTGACCTTTGCGCAGACGGAAGCCGCGCTGACGCAAGCGTACAAGCTATCCGCCTTCTTCGCGACGGTGACTTTGGCGGTCGGGAAGACGCGCTGCAGCTTGGCCTGGTAGGTGGCGGGCGGGCCGATGGTGTCGACGTAAATCTCCTTGACGTTGACGCCCTTTGCGTAGACGGCGCGGATGAGGTCCATGGTGGCGTCCATGGCCTGGGCGTTGAGGTTGTACGACACGGGCTTCATCATGTTAGCGCCAATGTCCCTCGCGGAGAGCGCCGTCGTGGCCCAGCCGCAGGACGAATGCAGGTCCGAGCCGGGCGTGCAGAGCGTCTCCATGAGCTGCGAGCGGACCGCCGCGGAGAGGACCTTTGAGTCGTCGAAGTGGTGCGTGTCGCGGAGGAGCGGGTCGGAGACGTCGACGGGCAGGAAGAAGATGCCGTAGACCATGGGGCCGAGGACGGGGCCGCGGCCGGCTTCGTCGACGCCGAGGACGCAGGGCGGCGCGGAGGACGGGTCGGAGGGGTCGGTCGGGAGGAGGGCCGGCGGGATGGGCGAGAAGTGGGAGTACGTTGCGCCGGAGAGGAGGGCTTCGCGGTGGGAGGAGACGGAGGGCGGGATGAAGGTGCCGGAGGGGGGCGTCGGCGGTGTGATGGCGGCGGGTTCGGGGGCGTCTTGGTCCATTGCTGCGGGTGGTTGAGGCGATATGGAAGGATGGAGATGGTTGGTTTTTGGTGGTGAAGGACTGAGTTGAAGATGCAGTTGGCCGTGAATGATGAGGATCGTTATAATCAGTTACAATGGGGCGGCGTAGGCGGTAATGGCGGTCCTCTGGCTGTGACCAATGCCTCAAGGTGAGGCGATGCGGAGCCCAAATTGTTATCGTGATGAGTTGAAGCTATCAAAAGACCAAGACGCTTCTCCAGCCCCTCGACGCGTCTTTCACTGTCTGGACGCGTTCCTCTTTAACGCCTGACCTGTCAAAGTACCGGGTACCTCCTACAGCGCATCGCCCAGTAAAGCCCACCGCTGGAGCTCAGCAACAAGCGCCAGAACCCGCCCGGAACTCGAGCCCTCAGCGCCCTTCTAGCGCATCGGAGCTCTCAGCTGCCAAGTAGCCAACATCGTTCCCCAACCCCCCGCCTATCAGCAAAAATGCAACCAAACTGCCCACCACTCTGAGCTGGAGCTGCATCTCTTCGCGCAGCTCCATTTCAATCCAACACGTCAACATCCACCAACCGGCGCGTCGTCGAAACCCTCGATTCTCGACCAGCGCAAACCCGAAGCCCCAGCGTCGCTTCAGGGTCGAAGCAGCGAGACTCGGCTCTGAAGGGGTTTAGGCATCGAGAGATCTCTTTCTTATTTTATTTCTTATTTAATTCAACTTACCCGAGCCGCCTTCTCTCCGCACACTCGACCGAATCCCGACCCGCACGCATTCTTGCATCATGGCTCGAGGCAAAGCTTCAGCCGAGCCGGAAGCTCTCCACGAGCTCGGCGTCCGAGGCCGGTACGTTGGGGCGCTTTTACAACGGAGGCGGGACGAGGGAGAAGCTCGCAGGGCTGAAGCAGTGACAATAGGAAAACCGGCGCCTTCTTGAAGGACACGGGCGAGCGCGACGAGCACGGCATGCAGCCTCTGGACGCCATCTTCTCATCGCCGCGAAGCGCAGTCACGCGCGGGGAGGAATCCGGGAGCGAGGACATGGAGATACCGTCGAGTGAGCCTGGCCGCACGATTGCACGACTTGCGCTGCCGAATCGCTGGCTTCCCGCGGCAACGATTGGCAAGCTCTCGATTCTATGCTGCTGACACGCTTTTTTCTTTTGCGAAACCTAGGTGCTGGACCAGGGCCGCGGACAGTTCTCAAGAACCGCCGGAGTCTTCAGTATTCCAATCCCTTTTCCCTTGAAGCTTCAGACGGGACCACCGGCTCACCTGACGTAGGAATCAATCGTCGTCTCCCACGCGCAATCCCACCGCCGAAAAAGCAGCAGTTAGCCGGAAGCTGGACTTTGCCAGCAGGGCTGGAGGCAAGGCGACGCCGAAGACGAACGGGAAGCAAAAGGCTGCCGCGTTGAACGGCCTCTCGCGGCATAGAGACGAGCCGGAGTCGGAGTCGGAGGAGCTGGACGATGTCATGGGCGCGGGCGAGAACGGCGAGGAGTCTATGATGATGGTCGATTCCACGAGGTCAGATTTCAGAGGCGGACGCGCCCAAGACGACGACGACGACGACGACGACGACGACGACGATGACGTGCCGCCCACAGAGCAGAAGAAGCGTGGAAGGCCGAACAAGGCAGCTTCGCAAGCGAAGTCGAAGGCAGCTCAGCGTGCTCAAGGCCAAGAACCCTCAGTAGAGCTAGGCGCCACCAGTAGAGAGAACTCAGCGAGGCCGGCTGCTAAGACCGTCGGAAAACGCTCAGCGAAGCCAGATGCCAGCGAGCAAGAGGAGGAGTCCGAAGGCTCAGATGCGAGACTGGATGCGATGCTAAGTCGCAGCCAAGCAGGGAGGCAGCCCAAGCGAAAGCGCCTCGAAGAAATACCAGCTTCACCCGAGCCGCCTACTAAGCGAGGACCGCCGGCAAAGACTTCACGGATTCTATCTTCCTCCGACATACAGGATCAGTCGAGAGAAGAGGAGGAGGAAGACGAAGAAGAAGAGGAAGAGGAGGTAGCGCCGCGGAAGAAGCAGCGCACCACTGGACCGGCAGTCTCAAAGGCCAAGACACCGAAACCAAAACCTTCAAACAAGGGGAAAGCCGCTGCTGGCGCTCGCGGGGGCAAAGCCGTGCCCGTCTCAGCAGCAAGCAAGGCCAAGGCCAAGGCCAAGCCAAAAGCCGAGGCTCAATCCAAGATCAAAGGCCGAACCGCGCAAAAGCCCAAAAAGGCCCGCTCAGGAAGAAACGGCGAGGACGAGGATGTTGGGGAGACGTCGTTTGCGGAGCTGCAGCGTGGCCCCCCAATGCCAAAGTCCCGCGGCCTGGTATCAATGCGCAAGACCGTCGACGACACGATCACGCAGACAAGGTCAGGACGGCACTCTTACCGGCCTGTCGCGTTCTGGAGGGGCGAGCAGGTGGTCCGCGAGGACGAGGAGCAGGCCGACATATTTGCCAAGGACCGGTTCATCATGCCGAGCATCAAGGAAGTCGTTCGCGTGCCCGTGGAGGAGGCGCCGCCCAGCCGAGGCGCCGCCTCTCGCGGCAAAGCGCGGCCCAAGCCGAAGAAGCCGGCGGTGGAGGAGGAAGAGTACGAGGAGTGGGAGCTCAACCCGGGCACCGTCGAGGGCGAGATTGTGATCTGGGAGACGGAGCACGAGGAGCACCCGCCGGCCGACGACGAGCCCGTCCAGGTGACGGACGAGCGCATCGCCATCTCGGCCAAGGCGGTGCAGACGTCGGAGATCCGCGACGCGACGTTCCGGTTCGCCAAGACGCTGACGATGCCGTTCATGGGCGCCGGCGTCGTCGACCTGCCGCCGGGCGGCGAGAAGCGGCCCAAGAACTCGCGCAAGATGCACATGGTGTTCTTCGTGCACACGGGCAAGGTCATGGTGACGATCAACGAGGCCCAGTTTCGCATATCGGCGGGCGGCATGTGGTTTGTGCCGAGAGGTGAGTTTTATTTTATTTTGTCTCTTTATCAATCTCACTGAGTGGAACTTCAGAGAGAGAGTTTTGTCTAACATGAGGTTGGACGGGATACTAGGCAACTACTACAGCATCACCAACGACTACGACAACCCCAGCCGGGTATTCTTCTGCCAGGCGTGCGAGATTTCGCCCGCGCAGTATGAAGCCTCGCAGATGAGCGTGGGAGCATGATGAAATGGGCGGAGAAAAGAAAGGGGGGGTGGAGGGAGGGAGTGTGCTTGATTCAACAGGTTCTTTGCGTTCTTGTTTGAGTATCTTCTGGCTTTGGGGCCCTTTTGTTAAACGTTGATACCACATGAAAATGGGGAATGAAATCGTCGTTTTTTGTTTCAGCGCTGTACTTGGTTTTTCTCTTCTTTACAAAAAGCTACCTATCGAAATGTGATGCCGATTTTACATGAAAGTACCTTACAATCATGTCAAGTAAAACAATAGCAGTGTTGAGAATACTGTAAGATACACGACTAAATGTCCCAGTCCCCCGTCGTACAAGCCCCCCTACACATATTTCATCCAACCCAGACTCAATACCCTCAATACTCCTCATTCATGATCCTCTTCAACCCACCCATCTCCCTCTCCAGCTGCGCAATCTTCCTCTGGCCCGCATCCAGCTTCCCCAGCAGATACATGACCCTGCCCGCCGACTCCCCCGTGTGCCGCGGCAGCCCGCCCAGCAGCTGCAGCTCCTTCTCCACGGCATCAATGTTCTTGGCTTCCACCTTGGCCATCTCGTTGAGGACCGCCAGGTCCATCTTTGCGCGCAGCACGCGGTCCTTGACGAGCACCCCAAACGCCGCCTGGTGCAGCGGCTTGCCGGCCGTGATCGTCTGGGGCCGTCCCTGGTGCGTCGTGACCGTGATGAGCTCCGAGCCGGCAAGGCTCTCGATGGCGGCCTCGCCGTTTGTCGCGTTGGAAGAGAGCGACGAGGCAAAGGTGGGCGAGAGAAGAACCTGGTGGTACCGCAGAGTCGGGTTTTCGGAGAGAGACTTGATCAGATGCCAGGCCTGCTCGGTTGACCATTTCCTGTCCGCGTCGGCTGTCCGTCCGAGAAGATACATCTTGACAATGTCAGTCGCGTCCTCGGTCACAATTTCTTCAACCGCCTCGCGAGGCGTCTGTCCTGCCCTGAGTCGCCGAGCCAGAAACTCGAGGTCCGTCAAACGGCCACCGAGGACCTTGATGCCCTCATCCAGTCCTGCCAGATTCGGCCGTGGGATGGCCTTCTTCTCCTCATCGCTTTGCTCTGCTTCCTCCTGCGCCTCACGCTTCCAATCCTCTTCCAAGCGGGTAATGACAAAGTTCTTCGCCACGTCGGCATCCAGATCGCCCAGGGATAGAGTGCGGAAGACCCTGTCCGGCATGGCCTTGGTGAGGGACTTTGAATAGGCAGAGTCACTGGTGAGGAACACGACATGAGCCACATTGTTTTGGACAATGGTAGCTGCCCAGTCGGCAATCATGTCATACACGAGGCTCGAGTCCTCGCTCTTGTGAAGAAAGTTGTCGACGACGATGACCGGACGGCGCTCGGGGTGTGCCTCCAAGTACGCATCTTCGGAGAGGTTGATGTCCTTGTCCGCCTTGCTTCGTTCCGAGAGAGCGACGGTTTTCAGGGCCGTGGCAGTGGTGTGTAGAATCTTGTTCAACTGTGATTCCAGAGTCTCCGAGAAGCCAGACTTGACGCCCGTCGTGCCCTGGACTGCCAGATCAACCATGCTGCTGATACTGTTGGCCCACGAAAACACCGGTCGATATCCGACCGCCGTCGCCAGTCTCTTGATGGTGCCGGCCTCGCCATTGGCTTCCGTAATCGGCTTGCAATCAATGAGAAGGACGTTTTTGCGCCCGCTCAGGGCTTGACTCATCACCATCTCTGCCTTTCCAGAACCTCGTGGGCCGGTGACAACAATAAAAGTATCCGAGCTGCCGTCCAGCCAGCTTTGCAGTTGCTCAATGAGGTCTTTGCGATGCTTCCATATCGTACCGAGACCTTCGATATGCTCCTGCTTCTTGTGGAAGGAGAAGCTCCCAGTCTGCGACTTGAACCACTTGTATATCCTCCAGTCGGTGTAGCGCAGGGAATGTTGCACGTGCACCTTGATGAAGAACAGCCGGATAGGGTCAAAGATCATGACGGAGACGCCCGCAATGAGCGCAGCCACAATCGGAATGACGATTCGAGGATGGGACGTGATCCAGTTCCAGATGCTATGCCCCTTTTCTTTCTTCACGTAAGAAAGCCGCAACTTGGTGCCATTCTTGCCGCCGCCCTGAGCCTCGCCAAGGACAAAGCCGTGCAGACAATTCCGCGCCATGATAGCATCGCGCAGCACAGGAAAGCCAATCTGGGCATACCTCGGCGTGATCTTCGAATCAGCGGGCTGGGGGATGATGTCCGCAATCTTTCCGTATTTGCGAAAGAGGCTGTAGAGAACTTCCTCTGGAAGCTCTGCTGCTGCAGCGCCTGGTTCAGGGGGCACGAATTCTACCATGACCAGAGTCGACGGATATCGATGCAAGTCCTCGAGCCAGGGAACTCCGCGAACAAGACGGGCTCTAATCCTTCCAAAAGGGTTGAACCACGGCTTGACCGGCTCTTCTCTCAGCTTCTTCAAAAGCTTGGCTAGCCAATGGGTCAGCGTCAACCATTACATCGGTATTAGACGGCATTTCACTCACCTTCAATCTCCGATGCACTCAGACTAGGATCATACTCAAACTTGACAAACGCCCCTCCATCCTTAAGCCGCGGCATAATCTCGGTCACCTTGATGGGCAAGTTATCCGGTATCGCTCTCTTGACCAACTGGATCGGGTCCATGATGCCCAAAGACGAGCTGTTGAAGCGCTGGAGAAGATCCGTCAGCTGTTGGTCCGTCTCTGTTCGTCGACTCAGCAGACTCAGCACCGGCGTCAACTTGAGAGGAAACAAATCTACAAATCAAAGAGTCATGTCAGTCAAACAAAGACGTATGTAACATCACCGGGGGGGAGCAGGTTCCAATGTCTCACTGTCGAAAAAGAGAATTGACTCGTTGGGCTTGACATCGAACCTCCCGCTCTCCTGCTCCTCAGAAGGCGACAACTCCTGCTTCTTGCCGGTCAAATTGCCATCACTCAGCGGTATAGCCGAAGTCGTCTCCCATATTCTCTGCCCGGCTCGATACCTCATCAGCCCATGATCACTCCGTCTCGTCGTCGCTCTGCCAGCTCCAAGTCCAGGCCATGACCGCAGGGCTCGAGAGCCGCTGGACCGCGCCGCGAGCAATGCTAGGCTTCGCGAGGGAATCATGACAATTCTTCACCAGAAAGTCCGCACATGTCGCTTGCTCTGCCGAAAATATGAGAGACAAAGAGAGAGAAAATAAAAAAAGTCTCGCCTTGGTATCGCAGCTTCTCATAGCATGACGAGCTAGCTGAATGGCTCGACGGCCAATGAGGTCATAGGAAGCAGATCGATCACCAGCTTCTTGTTGCAGATTGCCAAAACGGGAAAGGCCAAGCTTTTTTTCGGAGAAGATTTATCCCGGCCGAGTTCGCAAACCTGAACTTATCTGCGACTTTGATAAGTCGAAAAAGCTGAGGCCATAGAATTGAGCGCCGAAATCGAAAGAAGACAGGGCGATTGTGATCCATTGCCAGAATAACTACAGCATCAGCTACGTCTTATCGATCCAGCCAACTGATATCAAGATCCTGCACAGAGAAGGCAGCAACGCAGCCTTTCGAGGACTATCCCGATCCTCCAACAGACCTCAACTACATCGATTCATCTGCATCTACATATATCGCATCGCGAATAGCTTCACAATGGGCTGGCTCTGGACATCATCGCCCCCCAAACCACCAACCGACCAGTCGTCACCACCCTCGTCATCACAAACCTCCTCCTCAATACCTCCACAGCCATCAACCTCACGATCCACACCCACCTCCCAAGCTCCCAACGAGCCCGTCGACCCCGAAATCCAAAAACTCCTCGAGCTCTTCAACAAATCCGAATCCACCCCTCAAACCTCCTCCTCCTCCTCCTCGTCATCATCATCATCACCATCATTCTCGCCATCCGTCCTCTCAAAATGGCTCTCCTCAAAATCCACCTCCACCCCCGACCAACCCCCCATCCCCCCGCTCTCCCCCGTCGCCGAATCCCTCCTCCCGACCGACATGTCCTGCCGCCAGGCCTTCGACCTCGCCTGGTCCTGCAACTCCCTCGGCGGCCAGTGGAACGCCGTCTACCGCCACGGCGAGATGCGCTCCTGCTCCCACCTCTGGGACGACTTCTGGTTCTGCATGCGCACAAAGTCCTACTCGGGCCCCCTCAAGGAGAGGGCCATCCGCGACCACTACCGCCGCAAGGAGTACGAAAAGTACTACGCCCCGGGGGCCCGCAGCAGCGAAGACATCTGGGAGGCGAGGGAGCGTAAGGTCGAGCCGGGGACGGCATTTGCTGAGGCCGTAGAGATTGCCAGTGTTGATGATAACGAGTGGAGGAGGTTGGAGGAGGAGAGGAGGAAGAAGATACGGCAGGATCTGGGGTATGGAAAGGGGGAATGAGGTTGGTTACAACTTGCAGTGGATTGGAATTGGGATGCGTTATGGCAGATGAGACATGTGCGTCTTAGAATCGAGACCAATCATGATGAACAAAATGGATACGACAGGATATAAACAAGCCTCGTGAAATGAGGGAAGATGGTGTGAGGATAATGCTGCGAATATTACTCGGAACAAAGGAATGAACAAGTCTCAAGTCTTTGGGGGAAAGAATAGAAAAGATGTTGAGAGGATGATATTGCGGATATTCATCGCTTGAAACAACATGTAAAAATATCTAGTTTTCGCAATATCAATGAACACTTCAAGTTTATTAGGGTCAAACATATCCTTCCAACTTCTCCTCCATATTCGATATCAAACTTCAACTCAACTTCTGTATGAGATCCAATCACTTCACATTCACAAGTCAGAGAGATTGTAGTTATTTAGACCTGGAATTTATTGATTCCCGTAAAACTTAAAAATCATTAAAGTACAAACCAGGGCCAACCCGCCCAGCTTTTTTACCCTTCATATCCGTGAAATGCTAGTTGCGACAAAAGCAGAAACAAAGGAAAAGAATCTAATCATGGCATCATGCCTTGATCCCCTAGACCAAGCTTGAGGCTCAAGTCTGATGTTTGAGGGTATCAAAAAGGCTTGTTGTGCATTTAGTCGACCTCCTCGACGGTAGGGCCGTCATCGCCACCCTGGTTAGGAGCGCCGCCAGCGCCAGGGAAGCCGCCGGCACCGCCGGGCATGCCACCGGGCATGCCACCCTCACCACCAGCTCCGTAGAACTTCATCATGATGGGGTTGGCGACACCCTCAAGCTCCTTCTGGTGAGACTCGTACTCCTCAGTAGAGGCCTGCTGGTTGTCGTCGAGCCACTGGACGATCTTGTCGATCTCGGACTTGAGGGTCTCCTTGTCGGCGGCCTCAATCTTCTCGTCGACCTTGGGGTCGTTGAGAGTGTTGCGGAGAGAGTAGGCGTACGACTCA